AAAAAAAAAAACTAAACTACAAAGACAAGGGACTAAGGGCATCGCGCGGGATTACCCATCATGCACTCGATATTATGATATTTCGATATTTCGACAATTCTCATAATTTTTGCAAAAGGCTGTATGTACATTAATATGTTAGTAATAATAGGGCTCTATTAGCTATAAGCAGATATTGCTTTTCAATAGGCTCCTATTCCTGATCATTGAAGAACTGTACTTATATCCGATATATTGGAAAATTGTAAATAATCAAGAATGAATAAAATTGATTGATTGATTGATTGATCTTGACATTTATCAATGTAATACTGCAAGAAGTTAAGCTAGTCAAATTCATCTGCTGGTGTTAAAACTATTGTATTTTGGTATTCATAATTTACATTTTAATATACATCTTGATTGTCTTTTTTATAGAATTGGTTTTAAATGTCGCGTCAATAACAGTCAATCCAACTGATTAACGTGGTCTAACGATATTCCAGTTTTAAAGACGTAAAGTCATTTGCGCAATGTTTTTTTTTCAATTCCATAGAAGGATTTTGATCTAAAACTCAGTGCAGCTCATACTTTCAAGTTAAAAGTTATTTGGCATTGCTATAAGTCTTGGAGCTTGAGGTTGAACAATCATGAAAAATGAAATTTAACTGATGCAAAAGATTTTTTCCAAATACAATCGTGTCGTTTTGCCCACACAGGCGGCGAACGGTACCACAAATTGTGCTATCCCAGACGGTTCTATAATCCCCTTGACACAAACCACGGTTTTTTCGATTGTCTGAAGAGTCACTGTTAGTAGTATACCCCCCCCCCCTATATGGCATCATAGGGGGAGGGGTGGTCATAGCACGCTTGCTGATTAGTTCAAGTAGCTAGTGCAAAAAGTAGAAACAACACGATTTTGTGACGAGTCGGGTTACGCGTGTTGATTAGTTTAAATAGCATCATGGGGGAGGGGAGTCACCAGGTAGTCAGAGCACGTGTTGATTAGTTCAAGTAGCTAGTGCAAAAAGTAGAAACAACACGATTTTGTGACGAGTCGGGTTGTAATGTGGATTGTCTAAAATATTAGCTAAGACTCCTTATTTAGTTATATAAATTGACGTAATCCTCAGGACTATAAAATACACTAGATCAAAGTAGTGTTGAATTAAATGCTCCTAGCAATCAACTTCTTCTACTAAATGTCTCAAACGGTAAGGTCAACTTCAAGCGACAGAGGTCTAGTCGTATCCAGGTTCTTTGACACCACTCGATCAAGATGTCCTGCCTGTTTTAAGACCTGGGCGTGTGACAATATAGAGGTCAAAATGTACCATGCGTTGAAGGATCAAGGATTTACTAAGGAAAAAATGAAATCGTTTTTTAAATTAGACGATTACAGGGAAAAAACTCTATACGGACTTGTTCACACCAGAGATCATCGTTGTGCGGAGAATGGAGGCATTCCAGATTGGTTAGAGGGATTAGAGGGCTGCACAGATCGTGATGAATACCGAAATGAGGTTATACAAGCATGGTTGATGAAGATAAATTCCAAAGTGAACTCATCTTTGCACCAAGGAAATAATGCATCATAAGAAGAAAATAGCGATAAAAAGTGCGCGTAATGAATACGAAATTTAACAACGTTAAGCATCGTGATAAATTGAAAGGAATTGATTATTTAAGGAATCAAGTAACTCAGAATTTATGATGAGAACTAACTACCGCTAAAAACTAATTGTATAAATGCGAAACATTGAAATGTAAACACTCTGACAGAGCTTGAGTAATTTGAGTAAGCTTGTATTATGTTACGTTTAGTTCATATTCCAAATAAAGTTCTATTTAAAAAAAAAAAGGTAGTGAAGTTCTACTTCAAGTGCTTAGTTATTGCACAATTGTAGCCTCCAAATTGATTAGAGTTCAAATTGATATTGTGTTTGACTTAAAGTTCTAATCAATCTATTCAAATGTTACTTGTCCCAGCTTGAAGAAATTTGATTTGAATGACAACTCTATAATCTGCTCATGTATACCGAGCCAGAAAGGAAACCTAACAGTGGGAAGTCATTGTTCTGCCTGGACGCAAAGCACTACCTTCATTTGTCTTAAAACATCACTACTCGTCATGCACGGTAGAAACAGTACAACAAACTATATATTCAACTGTGGATATTCGCGGCGATATCGTTACATCCGGTTTAGAGATGGACAGTGATGACGAAATTGTATATTCTACAGTGGACGAAAAATAGCTCTGAACAATGCTTTTGTTATTATGTATTTTACGGTGTACAACTTATATTTTAAATATTATAACGTTCGTTCATATTTGGTTACTGTTTATAAAATGATCTTTGACTCTAGTTGTCGATTGTATCCTTTGATTTAAGCCAATGAATTTGTTATCATTCCTAAGCAAATAACTTTTTTAAATTTTTTGAAAGTTTAAATTTGTTTACGGGCTAAGTTTATTACTAAAGGCGTTCAATTAAACGAAATATTCTTACCTAGTCTCAAATGTTCTATAATGTTATTACGAAATGTTGGAGCTTCATAGGGGGAGGGGTGGTATTCTAAGATTATAGCGTCATTTTTTTTAGAGACAACACGATTTTGTTTTAATCCAATTACACTGCTTTTCCGCTATACAGCTCATGCAGAGAGAACACGATTTTGTTAATCCAATTATACTGCTATACCCTATATAGCGAGACATAAATGTTTCAATCAAGTCGGAGCTTATACGAACACCGTCAATTTCACTACGACAGATCGTTTACTAGTCCCCCCTATTTCTCTGAGCCGAACTTCAGTCTTTTATGCATTTTTAATCAATAGTTTGCTTGTGCAATGGGCGATTTTTATATCCGATTAGCTATTTGGGACAGTGAATCAATAGAAGAACTAGATTCGCTCCTGAACCTTTTTAATAGCGATGAGAGAGACATGGATTTAACGATATTAGGTTTACAAACTAGGGTTCGTCTACTCGAGCAAGCCTTGAGAAATAATGATTCTTCCAGGGATCTTGACGTGGGACCAGATGAAGCAAGGAGAGATGATGCCGCAATATTCGATACCACGGATGATCCAATGGATGCTATCGATCAAAGTGGAGGACGCATGGAAAAACGTCGACATGATGAACTTGATTCAAGTGAAGATGTTAACGCACACTCGCCAAAACGACAGCGTACACTCTCTTCTACAGGTTTACCAGCAGCAGCAAATTCTCCTGTTTTAACTGATCTACCGCCAAATACAAAACCTCTGTATCGCATCAAGGGAGTAAGCGAAGTCAACGTTCAAAAATTCAAGACACGCGGCATGAATTACGATGTTCAGTTCAGCGATATAGCAGCACATGGGGTTGATGAGCTACATCCTATTTTAAACAACGCTTTTGAAGGAATTATTGACGATATCACCACAGGAATGCCAGCACATGATCAGGTACGTCTAGTCCTGAGTACAAATCAACTCGACTATCCTATAGCACTACCCTTCATGAGACGGGATCAATTAACTGCTGAACGGTTGTTATCAAGAGTGGAGCAGGTTCTTCAATCGCACGAGTCGTTTACTCTGAATGAAACAGTTCACATTAATTTTTACCATGTATCCATGCCGCAAGGAAGCGGGTCAAAGCGAAGGAGAACTATAAACTTACAAAAACACCTCAGTGAGAAACGTTGTATCATACAGATACAAAATGATGATGCCTTATGTTTGGCTCGAGCACTGGTTGTGGCAAAAGCGAAACTGAGCAATGATCCTGCTGTAAAACAAATTGCTAATTCAAGACGTCCACTTCAGAGACGTTTAGCAGAGCAACTACATCACGATGCCGGAGTCCTAATTGGCCCTTGTGGTTTGGAAGAAGTCAAGCGTTTTCAAGAGCATCTTCAGGATTATCAAATCAATATAGTCTCTGCACATTTATTCAATGCCGTCATCTATTCAGGTCCTGATAAAGATCAACGCATCTACTTGTATCATCACGACAACCACTATGATGTCATCACTTCTATGCCAGCTTTCTTCTCGCGAAAACTTTTTTGTCATCATTGTAATAAAGCCTACGACCATGATGCGGATCACATATGCAAGCATAAATGCAACATTTGCTTCAAGGGACCCTGTGATTTGGTTAAGTGGATATACTGTGAAGAGTGTAATCGATACTTTAAAAACCAACAGTGTTTTGATAATCACAATCAGCTTAATGAGGCCGGAAGTTCCCTATGTTTACGCTACGTGAAATGCAAATTTTGCCACAAGATCATTAAAAGGATCAATCAAGAACCTGAAGCACATCACTGCGGTGAAATAAAATGCAATACTTGTAAACAGTTTGCTGATCCAGATCATCAATGTTACATGCAACCTGTTGACGATGAATCTGAAAATGCAAACAGCAACACTAATGATCCAAAATTTCTATTTTTCGACTATGAAACGACACAAGAAACGGGTACTCATATCCCTAATCTGATTATTGTACAAAACCAAAATGGCGACGAACATGTCTTTAATGGTGAAAACGCTAACATCAAATTCTGTAACTGGCTTTTTTCTGCGGAAAATGAGGATGCTATCTGCTTCGCGCACAATCTACAGAAATTTGATGGATATTTTATTTTATCATACCTTAACAAACAAGGTATTTGTCCTTCTGTAATCATGAATGGTGGCAAGATTTTGTCCATAGATGTAAGAGAACAAAACATCAAATTTTTGGACAGTATGGCGTTTCTACCTATGAGGCTCTCTGCGTTCCCTAAAACATTTGGTTTCGATGAACTAAAGAAAGGCTACTTTCCACATCATTTCAACACTCCCAACAACCAATCCTACATTGGACCATTACCTGACGCCTCTTTCTACGATCCTGACGGAATGTCGCCTAGTGTTCGTGATCAATTTTATCAATGGTACAATGACTTGAAATCAAGGAACTATGAATTTAATATGGAAATCGAGATAACAGAATATTGCCGTTCAGATGTGGACATTCTACGTAAGTCATGCCTGGAGTTTCGCCGTCTTTTCATGGAGACGACTGACATTGACCCATTTGCCAAGTGCATAACTATCGCATCTGCATGTAATTTGGTCTTCCGCAAGAATTTTCTACAACCAAATACTATTGCCATCATCCCACCACTCGGCTATAGACCACAAGATAAACAGTCTGCGATAGCGTTGAAATGGCTCTCCTATGTATCAGAGAAAGAAAACATTTACATAAGACACGCACGAAATACTGGTGAACAACGAATAGGCCCTTATCGAGTTGACGGTTTCCACGAAGGAAGCAATACAGTATACGAATTCAATGGTGATTTTTGGCATGGATGTAAGTGTTTTGCTCGAGGCACTAAAAATCCCATCAACGGAAAAACCATGCAAGAACTTTACAAAGAAACCTTACAAAGGCGTGACTATCTAATACGACAGGGTTATAAAGTCGTAGAAAAGTGGGAATGTGAGCTGAAGAAAGAGCTAAGTGAGGATCCAGAGATTAAAGAATATTTTGATAAGAACGTCATTGCTACTGAACCTCTAGAACCAAGACACGCCCTGTTTGGTGGTCGTACGAATGCAACACGATTATATTACAAAGCTCAAGAGAGTGAAAAGATTAAATATGTTGATTTTACGAGGTATGACTTATATGATTGGTTTTGTAATTTGCTCTAGATTAATTGTCCATACTGTTTTACGTTTCTTATCTCTAGTTTATATCCCTGGACGAATAAGTACTGTGCGTATCCTGTTGGACATCCCGAGATTATCACCGAAAACTTTGGGTCCACTGATGACTACTTTGGTTTGGTCAAGTGCACAATATTGCCTCCACGTGGTTTGTATCATCCCGTTCTTCCTTACCGATCAAACAACAAGTTAACCTTCCCGCTTTGTCGCACTTGTGCTGATACCATGCAACAAACACCTTGTCATCACTCGGACGAACAACGCTCCATCACTGGTACTTGGGTATCTTTGGAGGTTCACAAGGCTTTTGAGCTTGGTTATCGTCTAATTACGATACATGAGGTTTGGCATTTCCCTGAACAATCTGATGAGCTCTTTCGACTCTATATTGACAAGTTTCTGAAGATAAAACAGGAATCGAGTGGCTTTCCAAGTTGGTGTACCTCTGAAAAAGATAAGCAGAGCTACATCGCAGAATATCTAGAAAAAGAGGGAATACTTCTTGAATATGACAAGATACGGAAAAATCCTGGTCTGAGGGCTTTAGCTAAGCTGATGTTGAACAGGTACGAAGCTGGAAACATCATGAAAATAAAATGTGAGAAAGGAGTTAATATTCTGGTGTGAATCTATCGATCTTTTTTTTTAGCTTCTGGGGGAAATTCGCTCAAAGAACCAACATGACACAAGTAGAAATGGTTAAAGATCCACAACGCTACTTCGACCTGCTCACAGATGATAGCGTAGAGGTGCAAAACGTCCGACTTGTGAATGATGAAATGATTGAAATACACTTTGTTCACTCTGATAACTTTGTTCCGGCTAATTCCAAAACCAACGCCGTGATAGCTGCCTTCACTACTGCCCATGCACGACTGAAGCTTTATAACGTTTTGGAGCAGTTAAACACACGAGTGTTATACTTCGACACAGGTAAATATAAATATGATACAGATATGTGTTGATATAACATTAACACGTTGTTACATTTTTTGTTACAGATTCCATTATCTACGTTTCAAAAGAAGGAGAATGGGAGCCTAAAGTAGGTGACTACTTAGGCGAACTGACATCAGAAACTGGCGATAAATACATCATAACGTATGTCTCAGGTGGACCCAAAAACTATGCATATGAGCTAAATGATGGGCAAGCGTGTTGTAAAGTAAGAGGAATTACCCTTAACTATAGGAATGCGCGTATGATTAATATTGATTCCATTTCCCGTATGGTCCGCAAGGCTAGCAAAGATGTCATAACTGTTACCGATCCTTGTAAAATAGTTAGAAATTTAAAAACCAGAGAAATATTATCCAGACCAGAATCTAAAGACTATAGAATTGTGTATACTAAACGAGTCATTGTGGATGAGTATAATACTTTACCGTATGGATATTAAGTCAATGATTTAGAATTGATATATTGTACAGATGATCTTTAAACATATATAATTCGTAGCACAATGGTTTCGTATCATTTTAACCATGGTTGACGTGCGGTTAAGACATCCCTTCCCTCTCGTTGTGAGTGGTCCGACCATGTGCGGAAAGACATCTTTTGTGAGAAAAGTGTTAGAACTTGGAGAAGAAATGATAGAAAATGCTCCTGATAAAATCCTTTGGTGTTATGGTGAATATCAACCTTCCTTCGAAGAAATGAAAATGGCGATACCTAATATTGAATTCATAGAAGGCCTTCCTACAGACTTGAGTCATATGATAGATCCATCCCAGAGAAATCTTGTTGTTCTTGATGATCTAATGACAGACGCAAGCAATAGCAAAGATGTGACGAATCTCGTGACAAGAGGCTGTCATCATCGCAATATGAGTCTAATTTACATACAACAAAATTTATTTCCTCCAAGAAGGGAAAATCGCAACATTAGTTTGAACTGTCACTACATTTGCTTGTTCTCTAATCCAAGAGACAGAGCCCAGGTGAACCACTTAGCGCGTCAAATGTATCCTGGAAAATCTAAATTTCTCCAAGAGGCTTATACGGACGCTTGTAGTCAGCCCTTTGGCTACTTGTTTTTAGACCTCAAACAAGATACTCCTGAGCAGTTTCGTGTCAGAACCAATATATTTCCCGATCAAATACAATACGCCTACATCAAAAAAGTATAAAAAGACAAACACGATAAAGACATCGTCATTCGAGATGTCTCAGTGTATGAGAAACAACATTGATTTTCTTCGAGTCCTGAAAAACTGCAATTCTAAACAGCGCAGAGCAATACTTCAGGCTGCCGACAATAAGCTTCTAAAAGCCATCTGCGAGTGTGTTCTCAACGTTTTGCGTGGAACAGTTCAGTTGAGTCCTTCACAAAAAGGAAAACTCAGGCGACATAAAGAAAGCCTAAGGCAATTAGGAAACAGACGTGTACCTCTCAGCAAAAAGAAAAAGCTCATCGTTCAAAAAGGAAGCGGATTTTTGGGTGTATTGCTAGCGCCTGTGTTACAACAACTGGCTAATCTACAACCGTAATGGCTCGGAAAATGGCTCTGGTCCCGGAGAACTTTTTGTCGCAGCAAAATCAACAAAGAGTACAAACTAATCCCTTGGTGAGAAATCTTAGCGAGTTGGATTTGGAGATGAAGAGAACATTATCCTTACAAGATGTAACTGATGATCAAAAGCTAAAGTTGTACAATCAAATATTGCAAAAGTATTTAGAGTTTGACCGACAGCGAAAAGAAAAACATCCACTCCTAGTAAGAGTGATACCTAATGCGAAACGAGATGAAAGAAATGAGGAGGAGGAAGAAGAAAAAACACTTTTATCGCAGAAAGAAATAGCGATTGAAGATGAAATACTTGAGAGCATTCCAAAGAGTGTACGAAATAAAGCACGTCTTCTAGTAAATAAACTAAGGCAAAACAAGGACGTCGTTTTTTGGAATGATCGTGGAGAACTGCTATATGAAGGCAAGCCGGTATCGGGAACCAACATTGTTGACCTAGTAAGAGACGTAATGGGCGATCGTAAGCGCTTTCAGCCTCAGCACTGGGACTTGTTCTCACGTGGCTTAGCTCGGATCAATACTCCACTAGATTGGATTGGTAATGACAATAGAAAGAAAGCTCTACTGGAATACAAAGGCTTTGATCAAGATGAAGATGTCGAAATGCGTTATGACGATGAAGTTTCATCGTCCATTTCTTCTCCTGCCACATCATCGGCCAAAAAGAAGAAGAAGAAGAAAAAGAAATCAAATGGAAAATCTGCAAAAACTACCTGGATTAATTACTAAAGACAGTCTTGTGATTGTAAAATATTTTTATTATGAAATAAAATGATTTTTTTTTTTTAATTACATTTTCTCTGTCTTAATTTTTGAATGTGATATTTGGTGTTGTCTAATAAATGTTTTGCTAGGAAAGGCAAAGGGATAATGATGTGTTACAAAAGTAAACACTATAGAGTCATTGATTCTTTTATTGCGAGTAAAATGATTAACGATTGTTTCCAATGAAAGGCCACGACACCTATGAATTAAGTAGTATACACAATATTCCCCACAAACACTAGAGTCTAGACTTTGCAATGTTGCTTGATTGGCGATAAAATTTCTTGAGTTATTCTCTATAAATCTTAAAAACGTCTCTGAATAAAATTGTGGGTCTTGGCCATAAGAGTCCCAAAATTCAGCGGTTCCTTCATGAGTGAAGTAAAAGGCCACCCAATGACTTCCGGGCTCGTCGCTTGGATCCACGTTTGCAATATATGCACTAGGAAAGCTCTTCACCAAATAAGGTAACTGATCCGACGCATATACTCCTTGAAACTGAATTCTTGTCGCTTTATCCTCTTTCATTATACTTTCTAGCTGGCCCGTGTTCATGTTGTTAGTTGGTGAAGTCAAACAGCACGTTCCGTTGGTTATCGATTTCTATCAAGTTTTCAAACTCAGCGAGAATCAGTACGTTGATGCTTTGTGCAAGAGCTTGTGAAAACTGAAGTTCTAACCGGAGATTTCCTTTTTTTATCAAGTTGTAATGTGCATCGTTGCATAGGTCAGGTGTTAGGTCAAAGCAGAAGATGGCGTAGCCTTGGTTAAATTCATCACGCGATATATCATTGCCGAGGTCTTGAAACAAAGTACTCGTTCCTGCATACAAGGACTGATAAGCCATGATGAAATTATCGTGTGCTCCAAACTTTGGTTGAAGTGGTTTTCCTGGCAGGGGTTCGCCATCAACATAAACCCCCAGAAAACTAAGATCATTTGTTTTGAAATTGAACGGATTCTTTTTGTAGTTTCCAGAATAGGCATCATTGTCGACCATGGTAATGAAAATACGTTTTGGAGTATTTCCGTTGAAAACATTGTCCTGAGAAATGTTCAGAGCTCCTCTAGGCACAGAAAACATTTTAAAATCAATTCTCGTGATCGGGTATTTTGCTGTAGTTTTTCGTAGTGCTTCTGCATGACCCAGCAAAACAGAGGGGCTGACCTTTTCCTTTCTGATGAACAATATCACATCCTCGATGACTACTTTAAAGTTTGCGCCATCTACAGGCGAAAGCAAGCAAAATTCATTTTTGGATCTTGTCAGCTTCAGTCTGAGATCAACGCCATTGATCATCAACCGGTCGATGTTAAAGATATCTTCATGAATTCGTCCCATCATCTCGACACTTTTCGATTTTTTCGTGTGATTGTATCTTTCCTTCAACCCCATATTTTCATCCTTATCAGCCTTTGTAGGGTCTGTTTCATCGAGATATCCTGCTCGGTCTTTATAGAACAAGGCACTTGTCAATTGAGAGTTTTTTGCTGCTGGACCATAGCTAAGCGTCGTTTCCATGTAGGCTCTATAGGGGTTGGTGTTTGTAGCTGACGATACTAGTTTTCCGTTTAATGAAACATCGGCTTGGACAAATAAAGCATTAAGGAATAGGTTTGCAGGACCAACTTTAGCATCGTCGTCAATATTGGTGCCATCTGGTTTAGTCACTTTGGCTTTAACGTAAAGTTGAGTACGAGCCAAGTCCATGTATTCTGTACCTGCTCCGCTAACAAGAAATTCAATAGGTCCATTATCGCCAATATTTGAGATCGGGTGAAAATCAATAAATCGTCCAGACTCCAGACCTGTCTGGGTTGGTGGGACGGAAAACAGGTCAAGTTCGGTTTTGGAGCATTCAGACGAAGCGTGATGAACAAAGGCCATTGTGCTCATGCAAAAATATCGTTGTAAGTTATTTCTTGTTCCTTCTTGCTGCCCTTTGCTTTCGTTTTGGCGTGAGTAGTTGATGCTTTCCTCTTCTTAGCCTGAGGTCGACTGACTGATGTCTGAGGAGCTCGTCTTTTTATACCCTTTCCCGTCTGACCAAGAGTATTTTTTGCGGTGTTTAGTGCCATATTTGTCAGATCCTGTTTAGCTTCCAGTGCACGTTTTCGAGCTGCTGATTTTAATTGCTTTCCTTCCATGACGTCCTGTGCGATATTTATTCCTGTTGCTAGAGCTGTTTTTCCAAGCGCTTTGGCACCTTCCTTAAGAAGTGGTACAGCGGATCGAAAAAGACCTCGGATAAACGAACCGACACCATACCCACGTTGAAATCTTGTCCCTGTAAAGGCAGGCAAATTTCCTCCATTTTGAACTTGATTTACATAATAGGCTTTGAACAGATCGGGATTGGGCGTGTACGTTTTTCTTGACATATTTAGAGGTACAGAGGTCTGAGTTGTTTAAAGTGTAGTTGCACGATCACTCGCCCTGATTCAAATGGCACTTTTTGTCCTGTGTCGTCCTTTATATTCACTTGGATTTGATCGATTGTTTTCCTGCTTACTGGAAAAAATGGTGGGTCTTGAAAAGTTTTTGAAATGATGTCTCCGTCTTTGCCTTCAACACTTAAAATACGTAGTAGAGGCACCATGCTATCTCCCACGATTTGAGCGTCGATGACATCACTGTAGACATAAAGTGATGAAAGACCTCCTTCTAAAGTCATGACGTATGGAGCAGTGGTTTTCTTTTTAACTACAGGCATACCAGGTCCAAACCCCATCATCACACTAAGACTCGCACAAAATCCAATCGAATATCCGTTGAACACACCAATAGTAAATCTACGGGTTATTTTATCAAATTGAATGTCGATACTGTCTCTAGCTCGTTTGTCATCGATGCCTTCTTCAATTCCTTGAATGATCTCACCAGCGTTAACATAATATCCTTCTTTCAAAATAAAGACAGTAGGGACACCTTTGGAATCCATGACATAGAAATGGTTTTCTCTTTGGCGCACGTTGTTCCAGGTTCTCGGATATTGTATCTCTTTAAGGCTCACCTCCCAATCCCCCGTTAGTTCCAGAGGTTGTGGAGGCCGAACAGTAAAATCTGCTAAGGTATTGTCGGGAAAGATATCCATTGAGGCATTGCTCGGTAGAGTAAGGTAGAACTGTGATCTTTCCATGATCAAGACTAGACGCAAATAACAACAAGACTCTTTGCTACTGCTTATAACAAATCACTTTCTGGTATCCAACTGTTAAATTCTTGAGGCCAGCCCAACCATTTCACAAGAATCTCGGTTATTCCGTTTCGTTTTCGTTTCCGCAAAATCTCTTCGACGCGATAAACATCATCTTGCTTATTTACTTTCTGTAATTCACTCTCGTAGAATCTGCCTTGAATTTCTTGATCATTAAGGTCCATGATCCTGTACGTAGGAGGACGCGAAGCCTGTCGACTTTTAATTTTAAAGATTTCTTCTGACCATCCAGGTAGGTACGATTTCTCGAAGGTCATTCTTGTTTTACTGATTCGAACCATGTCACCAACTTTGTAACGAAACTTGTTAGGTTTGGTCATGAATTTCTTGTTGCTCTTGTTATTTTGATATGAGCTTTCCCATACCTCTTTTTCGTTTCGTGAATTGACTTGATTGGGCTTCATCTTGATGGTGCGGTGATAGCTATTGTTGTAGGATGATACGAATTTTTGTAAAGAATCAATATATCGTAGCTTACGCTTCCATGTAAAAAATTTATACATTTTTGATTTAAGAGTGCGATTAAATCTCTCCACGATGTTAGCTTTGGTTTCATTTTGAGAAGTCACAAACTGGACATCTTTCTCCTTTAAAAGTTTCTTCAAGGGTCTGTTGGCGAATTCCGTTCCCTTGTCAGTGTACAAGATGCGAGGATAGCGGCCGTCCGCGAAAATCCTCTTGAAAGCATCCACTAGCGAGACGGCATTTTTACTTCTTAATGGGATAACCCATGCATACTTTGAAAAGACATCGATACATGTCAATAGGTATTTAAAGTCATCATTTTCTTTGCTTAGTGATGACATGTCTACAAGATCAGCTTGCCATTCGTGGTCAATGCCATCAACAAGTACTCGATTACGCGGAATATTCTTTCTGATGGGTTTGTGAAGTGTGTACGTATCCTGGGTAGACAACCAGTTACGTATTTTCTTCTTTGATATCTTAAACTTTCCCTCGTTTTTTACGGCATGGTAGACAGCATCCAACCCTCCAAAACTTCCAGCTTGATCGGGATTGTAGTACAGGTTTTGAAGGTATTGCTCCATCGACGGTGTCTAAACTGTTTATCACAACAGTCCCCCCACAGCATGCAAGAATGCACCGTGAACGTCTACAGAAATTATTAACGCTTAATTTGAAAGGCGACTCAGGAAGACAAGAGCTCATGTTTAACGTTGAGCGTACTTTGCAGAAATGACAACTTGAGTTCCATCATGAGCTTTTACATCTCCTATTCACCCCTCCCCCTCCCCCTCCCACTTCCTTTTGGGGGGGGGGGGGGGTGCCAGCGGACCGATCGAGACGGCGGCTCTGCCGCCGTCTGCGTCGTTTCCGCAATTCAACATACTATGGTACATAAATATAAACAACAACTGCTTGATGGTGTTCAAAGACGTTTATTTATAAAACATTAATATTCACACATGTTTCGTAAGTGTCATTTTCAATTGTTCGTTTTCGATTGTTTGTAGCCAACCTGCATTTTTACATTGTATAATCTCTGCATCTGTCATAGGAGGATTATTTATGTTTGCCAAAGTTTTGTACCATTGTTGCTGTACATCAAAAAGGTCGACCTTCGATTTAGCCTCATCCAAAAACATGTCCACCAGCTCGGAATAGGATGTTTCGATGCACAAGTCATGATCCTTTTGACTTGGACAGTTATTGATACAACCAAAACATCTTTCTTTCATCAGACGATTTATTTCTACTTCAATTTTTCCCGCGTAAATAGACAAGAGGTTTTCATGAATATGCCTTTGACGTTCCATCATTTCAACTTCATCCACTAAAAATGTTTTTGTTGTACGGGGTGGTATTTTAAGTTTAAGATGATTTGGTTTTCTGCTCATGAAACCGGACCTTCTGATACCGCCTTCTTTCTCATTTTCAGTACTTTTCACCGTATCAACATCATCTATTTTGGCGCGCTTCGTTGATTTTTCCTCTTCGCCTTGTCTACTTCGCTTTCTCTTCCTCTCTTTGTCTTTCTGCTGATGTTCAAACTGTCTGACGACTTCTTTTATCGTTTTGAAGCTAAGAGTCATGAAATGCTCCTTTTCATAATCTCCTAAAACAATCACAGGAGCTCCATCCTGCTGATCGTTGTCTTGCACCGATGCATAGAATTTATCCTCGACGAATATCCACATGATGTTTGCTCTTTGGTGTCTGAAGTACGAGTGGTTTTCAACTACTTGGTGTTTGCCTTTATATCCAGGGAGAAAAATGCAAAGAATTCGAACATGACCACCCCTCCCCAGTGACTATAGTTTTAGATGACCACCCTCTCCCTAAATGATGCTATAATTCTAGATGACCACCCCTCCCCTATGATGCTATAATTTTAGATGACCACCCCTCCCCTTATGATGCCATATAGGGGGGGTATACTACTACTGTTCCTGAACGCGACTAGCCTTCCTCGAACAGTTCAGCCCCTTGGATCCGTTTTTTTCCTTTTAATTGACCCACTTTTAATTTCCCCTATCGCTGACCTCAACGACCCTCTCCTAGGCATCAGAGTATATGGATTCCCTTGACACTCTAGTTCCATCCCTGGACTAAAAGCTTGCACGGTAGCTAATCCCTTCGGAGATAGGGGATATGACTCCGAACTCACTGACAAGGTGCTGTTATCTTGACTTCACGGCGGTCGGTTGCTCTTTGGACGCTTT